GGGAAGCATCATCTCAAGTGATGGGTCTTTGGACAAAGAAATTGACTCCAGGATCAGCAAGTCCAGCCAGACACTGGGGCGGCTGTGAACTAGAGTGCTCAATCAACACAACATTCATGTTACACAAAGCTGAAAGTCTACAGAGCTGTGGTTATCCCTTCTCTTCTATATCAATGTGAGTCCTGGAGTCTGCACCAAAGCCACATTAAACAACTGGAGAAATTTCACATGTACGCTCTCCACTCCATCCTTGGCATTTGTTGGCAAGTCTGTGTCTCCAACCTGGAAGTCTTCGATCACATGGAGTCCACCAGCATTGAGTCCCTGATTATTGGAGCCAAGATGTGGTGGATGGAGCACTTCTTCAGAATGGATGACCACCGTATGCCTCACCAGTTGCCCTATAGTGTACTGGAGTCTGAGAAGAGACCTCGAGGTTGACCATGCAAAGACACTGTGAAAGAAACCCTACACCATCTTGACATTCAACCAAGGGAACTAGAAGCTGCAGCTGCTGACAGAACCCATTGGCAAGCCCTGTGCTATGAAGCCTCCACCGGCTCTGAAGACAGGCACCGCCAAAAACTGATAGAAACAGTTTTCTCCAAGGATGGAGTGGAGAGCGCGCATGTGAAATTTCTCCAGTTGTTTGATGTGGCTTTGGTGCAGACTCCAGGACTCACATTGATATAGGAGAGAAGGGATAACCACAGCTCTGTAGACTTTAGCTTTGTGTAATATGAATGTTGTGTTGATTGGCGGCATCACAGAATAACAGCCACAGTTACTATAACAATGGACTTCCGGTGCCCCCATTGTGTTAAACTCTGCACTTCCACACTGGGACTGCAGAGCCACCTCCGTGTCCATAGATGAACTGCACAACAGTGTGTCTTCTTTGAACCCAAAGGACTACCTTATATACATACCAATCCAAGAGGATGAAACCATGACTTTTTTTTGAGAATAATAGTAGTATCAATCCCTTTCCTTTATTATAACACTTCAGAGATGGGGTCCTATCAGATATAGAGAATGTTCTGCATAAGCAGTTGGCTATTCCTTTAATACTCTCATGTGATTTTCTGCAATCTAGCAGTGGCATGAAAGTAACCCAAAATGAGATTCTTTTTTTCTTATACACACATTTCCTGGCCTTTGCTTTGGGATTGGGAAAACTGACTCCCCACAATGCCCCCTTCCTCCTGAGAAACTCCTAAAATGTTCAGAAGCAGTTTAAAATAGAATTGGGGGGGGGTAGGAGTACTGTATGTTCTCTTCAAGTCAGGTTCAGAATGGATCCCTGGGTTAAGCATTTTAATTATGAATTTCAATTATAATTATGAAGCAAACACTGATTGATAGATTCTAGTAAAATACAGAGTACAGTGGTGCTTAAAAGTTTGTGAACACTTTTGAAATTTCAATATTTCTGCATAAATATGACCTAGAACATGATCTGTTCTCCACATAAGTCCTAAAACTAGATAAAGAGAATCCAATTAAACAAGTCAAAAACATTATATTTGTTCATTGATTTATTGAGGAAAATGACCCAAAGTTACATATTTGTGTGTGGCAAAAGCATGTGAACTTTCAGTAACTGGTGTGCCCCCCTTGGGCAGCAATAACTGCACCTAAATGTTTCTGATAACTGTTGATCAGTCCTGCATATCGGTTTGGAGGAATTTTAGCCCATTCCTCTTTACAGAACAGCTTCAATTGTGGGATGCTGGTGGGTTTCCTTGCATGAATTGCCCACTTCAAGTCCTTCCACAACATTTCTATAGA